GCAGAAAAATAAAATTAGAAAAAGATGGGAAAAAGTTTCAGTTTGGAAAATATGGACTGATCGGATTTTATTTACATTTTCAAACTGCATGGTGAAAACAATTTATAACCTTCTGAACAAAGAATGGATAAATCTTTATTTGCATTGCAACAAACAAACACTTCCTATAATTGCTGATCAACTTTTGCATGTCTGCTCTATGAAGATGCTTCATCTTCTTCATTGAGCTCCATGTGTTTAATGTATGAAGGCGCCGTATCATCAGACTAATCTTTAGCTCCCTCTACTGGTCCAAGTTGAGAATCAGATTGGGAAGCTAAAAAATTTTAAGATTACTTTCATTCAAAGGAAAATGCTCAAATTAAAATATTACCTTACTCCTAAATCCGCCATAGGCGTGAATAAGTTTTGTCTATGTGCAGATTCTTTGAAACTAATTTTGAAATTCCTTCTTGGTTTCAGAAACACAACAGGCCCAAAACATGCATATTGTGACAGTGAACAAATCGCCTGACCTTCACACAGGCTGACATCAAAATGCAAATCAGTTTGACTTGTTCTGTCTGTGTGCCTTCTCTTAGTTGTAGCTTTAAGACACTTCAGTCACATTTGACATAAAAACTAATAAATTTTAAATATCCTTTACTCAGCTGTTACACAAGACGTTACTGGTTACGAGTTTTCTAACTTCTGCAGGTCTCCTTTAAAGGATGTTGTTGTAAATATCATGGTCATCAGGATTAAACGTGTTTGGAGTGGAAGAGTTCATGTAAACAACATATTCTTGTTTTGTCTCACAAAACCAGGAAATAGATTTTTTTTCACCACAACAAAGTGGGGTGGAGTATTGAGGGACACTCGGGTTCTGGTTTTAATCTCAGCTGTGTAGATCTTCATGTTTGGACTTGAGATGTTCTTTTCCTTAAATATTTTCTTCAGGAACTTGATTTGTTCTCACAACAAGAAACGAGCCAATTTAAAAGCTCTTTTTAGCTTTTGGTATTAAAAAAAGATTTAGAATAATAAAACAAGATTACATAATTTTTCAGGGAAAACCAACTTGATTGGTCCTTTTTTATTCTGTTCATGTGCAGAAAACTTCTGGTTTAAGAGGGAAGCTCATTGCATGTTCAGTTGGAGCATCAGTAACACCTGTAACCATGGAAACGGCACCAGCTTCCTGTCTTTTACCGCCTGCTCCAGGTGGTTTATCTGCATTTTCCATTGAATGTTTCTGTTTGTTCAATCAATATTTTATATTAGATAGCGGTGTAGATCATCCATGAGCCTCATGTTTGACCTAAAATAAACTGAGCTACATTATTTAAGCAAAATAACATTAATAAATCATATCCTACCAGAAGTCTTATATATATGATAATTTAGTGAGTATGTTAGATGGTAATTAATTTCATTATAGACCTGTTGAGAATCTGTCTAGAAAAAAAAAACACATTTTGTAAAGTCTGAAATTATTCATACCCCTAGCAGATTAAGATTTGTAATTATTTCCAAACAAGTAAGAGGTTTTGTTCTAACATGATGTGAGCCAGATATTTCTAAAAAGATTATAAAATGATGGATAAGAATTTTCAGTTGGAAAAATATTGACTGATCTGATTTTATTTGCACTTTCAAACTGTATTGTGAAAATAATTTATAACCTTCTCAACAAAGAATTTAAATATCTTTATTTACGTTGCAACAATCACACTTTAGCATGTCTGCTCTATGAAGATGCTTCTTCTTCTGCTTTGATCTCCAAGTGTTTAACTATGAAGGCGCCCTAACATCAGACTAATCTTTAGCTCCCTCTACTGGTCCAAGTTGAGACTCAGATTGGGAACCTAAAAAAAATGTTAAGATTACTTTCATTCAGAAGGAAAATACTAATATTAAAATAGAACCTTACTCCTAAATATGTCATAGGTGTGACTAATTTTTTTTAATACGTAGATTCTTTGAAATTCCTTCTTGGTTTCAGAGACACAACAGGCCCAACATTTGCATATTGTGACAGTGAACAAATCGCCTGACCTTCACACAGGCTGACGTCAAAATGAAGGTCAGTTTGACTTGTTCTGTCTGTGTGTCTTTACTTAGCTGTAGCTTTAACACACTGCAGTCACATCTGACATAAAAACTAATACACTGAACAAAAAGATAAACACCCCATGTCAAATCTAAGGGTTTTATGAACATTTGGGTTCCGCAATACATAGAGAAACTCAAAATATATTTTCAGTAATTACTGATCTTCATATCGGCATTGATGACATCGTGGTATGGCTGTTTGTAGTGGATTGACAGGCCTTTGAACATGATATGTGTCGGGTTGAGGAATCTGATCTTGACCAAGTTGGTTTCTCGTAGGCGGTTACAGACAGTCTGAAGTGTGATCCGTCTGTTGTGCAGACCAATAGTCTCATCAGCTGTGTGTGTCGCTGGTCTTAGCCGATCCCGCAGATGGACAAGCCGGATGTGGCGTTCTTATGCTGGAGTGGTCAGATGTGGCCGACGAGGACGGAGTCGATTTGCAGTTGTGCCAGTCTGTTGGAATCGAACTCTTAAACAGCCAATGGTCCGATAACGGACCCTGAGCCGTGCAGCTACTGCTCTGGTGGACATCCTTCCATACACTCCTGCATAACTTGCTACATCTGAGGCTTTATGGCTTGTGACAACATTTGACATTTTGGGGTGGCCTTTTATTCTCCCCAGTCCAAGGATTGTCCAGTTGTGGCTCATTTTGTCTGATCACCCACTGGACATGCCCCACTCATGCACTGAGTATAAAAACAACTCACTGGGTAAAGCTCACTGACAGCAAGTGGGATTAAAGATTTTACACAAATCAAGAGAAATATTACTTTTGCACAATAAAACACGAGAAAATGCTCATTTACATTTTTTAACTCCACATGGCAACAATATTTGGCATGAGATGTTTATATTTTTGTTCAGCATAAATATTAAAAACATGTCTAAATGAAAACACATGAGCATTGGTTCCTTTACTGAGCTGTTACACAAAATGTCACAAATACTGGTCACGTGTTTATTACTTCAGGTCTCCTTTAAAGGATGTTGTTGTAGATATTATGATCATCATGATTCAACATGTTTGGAGTGGAAGAGCTCTCGTAAACAACATCCTCTTGTAACTCATAGACCTAAAAATAATAATATAAGAAATTAATTAGATTCTCTTTGCAAGAAACAGGAAACATCTTATAGATATTTACTCACATAGTTCATTCTCGCTTCCACATTACGATCAGCAGAGTTCAACACATTCACATTGACTCCATCCACTGAAAACACAAAGTAAACATGATGTGATTCTGTGGGGGATTTCTGTGTGAGTGTATAATCTGTATAAATGTACCTTGCTTGATCCTTGATTTGTACTTTAAAACCAGCAAAAGGACAAATGTCAGGATCAGAAGCAGAACGAAGACAGCAGGCAGAATGTAGAATAAAGAAACATCTGAAAACAGGGAAATGGAGAAGTTAGCTGGTTCACAGAGCCCTCCACAGAAACACCATAGAATGACAGCCATGTTCCCGTTTTCTCGTTCTATCTCCGCCACGTTTAGATGGTTTTCTTAACTTGTTGTAAATACATTTAAGTCAGTTATGCTAAGTTACTATATCTCCCACTTCAAGTTCAAACTTCAGTGGCATGACTCTTTATAAAGAGAAACTTGACTGGCTTACCTCAAAACCTCAGTTTTTGACTCAAAAATGGATGCATAGCAACACTGAGGTGTTGCTTCCAAACAAATGCCTGAATGTGTGAAAGATTTGTGAGTGTAGATGTTTAGGTGTGGGTTGTTGTCTCTATATCAGTCTATTCTATATGGAGCTACAACTGTCTCATAATTCACAAATGCACAGACTAAGATTCACAAATGCAAAAGATCCACAAATGCACAGCACGAAATTCACAATTACGGGCTCCTTCTGGCCTGTGTAAGCCATAGCTTACTCATGAGAGCTCTGCTGATGCGCTACTGTAGGAGTTAGGTGTGCTGAAGATCACTAGCTTGTGATGATAGTTGCACAATTAAATCGATTGACATTAATAACGATAACATGGAGATTGATAGCTAATGTATTAGATATTTCACTTACTGCTCCTATGTTGCTGCAAGAAGCCAGACTGAGGACTAAACTGTCGGTGCTTTGTCAAAGCAACAGGCGCTGTTGGAATGGGTTAATGTGATTGGCTGAAAAATAGGTTACCCCAACTGTGGGGCTCTATTCATATGATTGGCTGAAACAAGGATGCTATCTGATTGGTTGCTGATCAACCAATCAGATAGACCATTTATTAAAAAAACCCTGAATTTTGAGTCAGGGGAGTCTCAAAATTAACCATAAATGTAGCGCAACTCACAGGCCAGAAGGAGCCCGTAAGTGTGAATCTTGTCCTGTGCATTTGTGAATCTTAGTCTATGCATTTGTGAATTATGAGACATTTTTAGCTCCATAATTCGACACTGATAAAACTGAAGCTTCAGTTTAATAATGCAGATATTCTCTTTTTGTATTATAAAAGCAGCTTTGTGCAGATAAACCCCAAATCTGGAGATTAGGAACAGCTGGAATGAGACAAGAGAACAAACAACAGAAGTAAAAGAAATGTAGAAACAAAGAGTTTACCAGAATTATGTGATGGTGGCTGTGAGGTAGCCTGTTCAGCAGAGCTGGTTTGATGTGGAGAGTCTGTCAGAGGAAATATAAAACATAATGTGGTAAAAACCATAACATTACTTTTTTGTTGCTTTATATTATTCTATCTCTCCCTGTGTTGGTCTCACCGACTGCCAGCTGTATCTTTATGAATCTCAGCTGAGAGTCTGAACCACAGTAGTATGTTCCTGCATCAGCTGCTTCCAGTTCAGTGATGATCACAGAGAAACAGCTGGAGGAGACATTGAGCAGCTTGANCAAGCAATAGGAAACATCTCATAGCTGAAGTTTTGTTTACTCACATCATTGATTCTCATCTCCACATTATTACTGTTAGCAGAGTTCAACACATTCACATTGATTCCATCCACTGAAAACACAAAGTAAACATGATGTGATTCTGTGAGGGATTTCTGTGTGAGTGTATAATCTGTATAAATGTACCTTGCTTGATCCTTGATTTGTACTTTAAAACCAGCAAAAGGACAAATGTCAGGATCAGAAGCAGAACGAAGACAGCAGGCAGAATGTAGAATAAAGAAACATCTGAAAACAAGAAAATGGAGAAGTTAGCTGGTTCACAGAACCCTCCCTAGAAACACCACAGAATGACAACATGAGTTACTTATTTTAAATGTGGTGAAAAAACTGTGATCAATAAAAGTTCAACTTGATGCTCATGTTCCTGTTTTCTCTTTCTATCTCCACCACATTTAAATTGTTTTCTCAACTCTTATTAATAATAAACTTATTTGAGTTCAACCCACTAATTCTCAGTGTCATTCACACAACGAGCAAATGCATCCCGAAGCCTCACTTATTGCCCACATGTGACTTATTTCTGACCTTTTCATGGCAGTCTGAATGGCCCTATTTCGATCGTTTTCATCTTCCAAAAACATCCAGTCTGTGCCACTCCCATACGTGGAATTAATCGAATATGTATCTGATAGTTTTGGAAGATTTGCAGTCTGAACCGTCATGTGGCTTTTTACCCAACTTTTATGCCACTGATGTGAGATATGTACCAGAAGAAGGTAAATCTGGACTTGAACAATGATTGAACATTATAATTATGACAATATGAATGAAGTCTGTGTCACTGAGGCACATCACATCACAGTCCCAGCACTCCTGGTTCTGAGAACAAGGCAAACTGACTTCTCTGCAGAAGCTGCAGTCAAGATGTCGCAAAAGGCCTTTGCTGTTTGTGTTTTTTTTATATTAGCTTCCCTTGTGTTGTGACGATAGATACTATAACAAGATACTTTTAAATCGATTCTTAAATGGCTACATCTATTATTACCTCCATAAACAGTGAACTGCTGAGTGATGTCACTGTTCTTCTGTTTCTGCTATCGTGGGTTGCTTCTGGGTTGTAAACCATTAGCTCAGACGTCTGATTTCGGTTTGATTTAATTAGAAGTATGAACGACCACGCAAAAAGAAAAAGATCGGACTTCCGCAAAAAATTGGAATTAAGCATCAAGACCTGTGATGTGGAGTTATTTTTGTCTCCAACTCAAACCTCAGAAACCTGAAATGTCCACATCTCAAAAGTCAGTAATATGACTCAATCTAATGAAAGAGGTCATTTTGAGGTGACCTTGAGCAAGAAACCTAAAGATGGAGGCGTAACTTCCCTTAATACTGTACTGTAATTCTGTACTCTGAATGTGTGAAGTGCATGAATGTGTTGATGATTTGTGAGTGTGGATGATTAGGTGAGCATTTAAACAGCTTCATCATTTCAGTCCATTCACAACTGAAAAAACTAAATCCTCCATTGAGGAGCTGAAATGACCTTTAGTTTAATAATACAGGGATCCACTTTGTGTCATAAGAGCAGCTTTGAGCTTTGTTGAGATGCTTTACAAAGATCGAGAAAGAGTTACATGTTAGACAAAGGCCCATTCCTCAGAAACAGAAACTCATCAGGCCACACAACCATGGTGTGATTTCAGGGAGTGTCTTCAGTCCATATAATCAGCTAGCCTCCTCCTTTTCCTCTGTCGCAGCACAGACTTTTTTTTTAGAAACTTTTCTCAACTGTAGTGGTAAAAGCATCTCCTTTCAGCGCTGAAAGTGAATAAAATAAGTAAAATCTGAATGATTTTGTTGGCTGATTTTATGCTCCGTTTGTCAGTACATTTTTGATCCATCGGTTAGGATTTTCCATCCTTAACAGCAGTTGGATAAGAACATATGGAGATTTGGAACAACTGGAATGAAAAGAGTGAGAAAAAACACGAGTCATAAAGAGGAATAAACAAAGAGTTTACCACGATTATGTGATGGTGGCTGTGATGTAACCTGTTCACCAGTACCGGTCGGAGCCACAGAGCTGGTTTGATGTAGAGAGACTGTCAGAGAAAATACAAAACTTAATGTGCTGAAAAAAAAACTATAACAAAAGATTTCTGTTGTTTTTTATGTTTTTTTTGTTTTTTTATTTCTCTCTGTGTTGGTCTCACCGACTGCCAGCTGTATCTTTATGAATCTCAGCTGAGAGTCTGAACCACAGTAGTATGTTCCTGCATCAGCTGCTTCCAGTTCAGTGATGATCACAGAGAAACAGCTGGAGGAGACATTGAGCAGCTTGAACTTTGTTTGGTTCTCCATCATGTCTGTGCAGTTGTTGTGTTGGTCTCCTTTACAGAGGAACTTCCTGTTATCATGTTGTTGTCCTGAATTAGGACACTGCAGAGTTACTGGACGTCCCTCGATGCCACTGATGTTGTACGACTCCAATTCTATCAGAGAGATTTTATTCATACAAAAATCTATATAACATTTATTGATAAATTGTGCATCAATTTATCAAACGTGCTCTTTTACAGTCCATTCAAAACTGGAGTGAAAAATGAAGGAATGCTATGATCTCTCACCTTTGACCTCCAGGTCAACAGCAGTGAAAACATCAAATCCTGAGTTTCTCTGGATTCCACAAAGATACGACCCAGAATCCTTCAGGGTCAGACTGGAAATGGTCACTGTGAATATTCCTGACTTCCTGTCATCAGAGAGTCTGAATCGTCCATCTTGTGTGTTGCTAGAGGTGATCACTGCCTGCTGTAGACATGTGGAGGGCCGGTTTCCTCTGCAGAAGAACTTCAGCTTGTTGACAGACTGAGAGTCGTACGGACAGCTGATGGTCACTGAACCTTCCTCAGTACTTTGGGTTTGATTCACCGTGTCGCAGCATCTGTCTGATAGGAAGATAAGAAAGTGTGTAAGATAGTAAAACATTGATGTATCTTACCAGAAACTTGAATTAAGTAAATTTGAATGTAAAAGTTCATCACGATCTGCTAATATGGGTGAAATAAAATAAAAATAAAAAACTTATAGCCACAAGAGGTGATTCAATGGATGCTTACTTACTTACACATCAGTACTTGCAATGCATATTGATTTTAGATAAATTATATTACTGTATAACAACTAAATTAATATTATACATTTCAACAATCGAAATATTAAATTTAATTAACTTTGTTCCCTTTTTCTTTTAACAATCAATTTTAAAATCTTTCTGACTTCCTGCTATGTCTCAGCTTTTAGTCCATTTTAGTTGATAGAACAGCGTGTATCAGGATACATTTAATATAAAATGTTGACATGGATGTTAAACTTTTAAGGGACAAATCCTCATCTAAACCTTATCAATGATGAACATAGCAGAAAACCTCCAAGATTAGTGACTCTTTAAATATATGAAAATATTGTAAATAAGAACTGTTATTGTCGGGATTTGAGTTTTCTGTGTTTATTTTGATTGTGTTTCCTGTGAGTCCCTGTCTGCTCCCTGATTGTTTCCCAGGTGTGTCTCTTCTCGTTGATTACCCTCCGTGTATTTAAGCCCACCTGTTGTCCTGGTGTCTTGTCGGGTTCTTGTCATTCGCATAGTGTGTGTTGTCAAGAGTCCAGCGTTAGATGTTATCCGTCTCGGTAGAACTGTAAAGTCCTGAGTTCAGTGTTACCTAGTAAGCCGTCATAGTAGAACTGCTAGTCCTGTGTCGGCACCTGCTGTCGTTACCAGTTAGTGCTGAGCCTCTGTGTATTTCCGCTTTGCCGCTGCCAGATTTTGGGACTGTGTGAGCCATCTTCATTATTAAACTTTCATTACTACTCTTACCTGGGTCCATGGCGTATCTTCTCACCGCATCATGACAGTTATATTTATATCCATGTTCAAAATATTTCAGTGTTGATTCTGTTTTCATTCTCTTGCCTTTCTAAAGCCTCAAAGTCTTAGACAGACCCGTCGGCATGGGGCATTGGGAGACATTGCCCACCCACAGAGTCAGCTGTGCCCCCCTGGACTGGAAGCTGTTTTACCTCAGAGTGGCCAACTCTCTGTTATTCCTGTATCAATTTGATATATTAGAGGCTTCCGCAC